CAACTAGGAGAGATATGGGATAGGCCTTGACAGAACCCACCCGTTCTCTTTGCATTAATTAGCCCATGTTCTGTCTACTGATGTGGGTCGGAAACCAAGCCTAAAGGTATTCTCATTTATGACCGGGGAGATAAGCTTAGTAATGCCTTGCAAAGATTTCCCGAGCCCACATAACTGATGCATTGGACAAACAAAGCTGAGGTAGCGGGGCCCCTTCTTCAAACTAGTCAGCGACCACAATTTCAAAAGCATGATACACAAATGTATTCACTGCCCTCTCTAGCTTCAAGACACGGGACTAAGGGGTCTCGATAAATGCATTTCTCATCTTCTCCATGGACAATGATTTTCTGATTATCATGTTCAAACTTGACCATCTGATGGAGAGTGGATGGAATAGATCTGACGGCGTGAATCCAGGGCTTGTCGAGAAGGATGTTATACGATGTTTTCAAGTCCAAAACTTAGAAAATCACCTAAAAATCCATAGGGCCAATAGTCAAGAACAAATCGATTTCTCCAATACTATCCCTTTTGACCCTAACAAAGGCTACACAAACATTGTTGGCCCGGATTCGTTTTGTACCAATTTCCATTCTCTAAAGCATTGAAAGGGGACAAATATCTACTATCGTACTACCATCCAACATAACTCTTTTCACTTAGTAGCCTTTACACTTAATAGTGAAGTGGAGGGCTTTGTTGTGTACAACTCCCTCTACAGGCAAATCATTGTTGCTAAACGAGATCTTATTGACTTTGAAAAATCTCTCAGCCATTCTTTCCAATTGTGCAACAGTTGTCTCATCCGGGACATAATCTTCATTCAAATATTTGAGCATCACCTTTCGGTGTTCATCTGAACTTAGTAATAGAGACATAAGTGATATCTGTGAGGAGGGTTTTCGGAGTTGATCAACTATCGAGTACTCCATAGTTTTCATTTTTTGAAGAATTCCTCATCCTCTTAGTTGCTAATAGGTTTCTTTGGTGGCATATGGTTGTCTCTATTTTGCTAAGCTTTTCTTAACTCATCTGAGGTACAGTATCTCCCCGGTGGGGTCATCTCATTAACATTCCCCGTAATTTCTTTTCCTTTGTAGGTAACAACTATTTTATTATAGTTCCAAGGAACTACTTTAGGATCTTTAGTTGGACTTTATGGTGTGGGGCTGATAAACACATGCTTAGTCAGCCTTGGTGTTTTTCTCAAGCCCCATGCTACCTGTGTTGTTCCCTTTGGTACGTACAACTTCGGTACGTTCGGTGTGATCTTTCTTTCATCCACTTTCTTTCGGACACTGAGGACAAGCTCTTCTTTCTTTGATTCTTTTGGAACATAAAGAACAAACTTTTTTTTTCGGGTGCCGACTCAGCTTTAGTTTCAACGGCCTATGGGATCGGAGCTATTTTCTTTTTTAGGTTTTGCCGGTTGTGCTGATGCTTTAGGTTTTACCTCAGATGTAGCAATAGTCGTGGGTTTATCCTGAACCATGTAGCTACAACAGGCTAAACTGCCAAAACTCGTATAACTATCGGTGTCTAATACCCATGAGCCACCTGCTCTGGAGTGTGAGTAGTGGGAGTCTGGGTGCCTCCCCAAGACCGAGAAACGATTGATGCCACAGGAAACACATCATTCTGGGCCATACTCTCTATAAGACCAACCATGCAAACTAATAATCTTTCCTACTGGCTCTGTCGGAAAAAGATCTCCTCATCTGCTTTATCTAAGGCTCAAGAACAAGTGTCTATGCTCATGCTCTAGGCAGATCTATGCCTATAACTCGGCCCCAACCCCTACCCTTGGTAGTGGCTACAACCTGAGGTTCTGGCTCCTGATCAGCTACGGATGTTGTATGTGTCCTCACCATCTAGGAGAGAATACGAGAAGAATAATTCAAACTTAGCGATAAAACAAAGTCACATGATAGAGAAAGAAGGAAAGTGAAATTTCCTAAAGCATGATGGTATCTAGAAGATAATTGCAGACGTTTCCATAAAAATACTCAAGACTCTACTAAGCTTGCTCATTACTCGTGAGACCTAGGCAACCTAATGCTCTAATTCCAACTTGTCATTACCCATAATCTCAACCAATCGGGTTCGTAATGACGCCTAACACCACTTTCTAAGAAAGCCAACACACAATAGATAAACAAGAAGAACTGCTATAAAGGACTAACAAGAGAATAACAACATAATGTAAAGGCAATTCTGAGATAAACATATTAAGACAAAATCTATCAACTACGCGAACCATCCCAAGATGTGGAGTCACAAGTACATGAGCTTTTAGAGTATTCTACATAGACTGTTCTGAAAGAAATACAACACCGTCTGAAACAATACCTTAGATCACTGCCTAGAATCTGCTAAGTACCTCTTGGGACTCCGTTGGTACCAATATCCTGATATGCACAAGAAGTGCAGAAGTGTAGTATTAGTACAACCAACCCAATGTACTTAGTAAGTGTCGAGCCTAAATATGACGAGGTAGTGATGAGACTAAGACAAGACGCTTAAAAAAGCATGTGCTGATATATATATCAAGAAGTGACAAAATAGCGGGTAAAAAATTAAATATGACAACGGGATAGGGACATGTAAAGGGAAAAATAAATGTAAATGATAAATAAAGAATCACGAAGTAAACCTCTTTCAAATTAAAAAATAAAATCACCAAGTCAAGTTCACATCTAAAGTACCAAGATAAATCGCAATGACATTCACAAATATGCACTGCATCACCCTTCGTACTTTTACTCTCATCCTCACATGACAATAATAGTTAAGCAAGTGCATGGCATCATCCTTCATGCTTTTTTTCTCGTCCTCACATATAAAATAAGAAAGCAATTGCACGACATCACTCTTCATGCTTTATCCTTACGTTCACTAAGGAAATGATATCAACGTGCAAATAAGACACGGAAACACCCTTCGTACTTTTTACCCTTCCTCACTAAGCATTCATAATAACACAATACCAAGAAAGGTGGTAAGCAAATTCAACTTCAATAATAGTATTTGAACATAACTCGTCATATGAAAATCTTTCAACAATTTGTGCCAATAACCAGTCAATAAATTCGACAATCTCCACACCCAACATCACAACAATCTCAACATAAGAAATAACATGAATGCGAGTAATCAAAGAATTAACACTCTATCTAAAGCATGGAAGATATAATACATGAATTAACATGGTATAAGTAAAGCAGATTCCACCCTACCAATGCAGATACACTCGCCACCTTGCATATATGTTTCCCCCAATACATAATTCATGTAGAAAATAGATTCAATTATTCCTTATTTCCCTCAAATCAAGGTTAACCAAGATACTTAACTCTTTCCAGAAATAAGTCAACAATCCAATACAACCTTTTCTTTAGAACAAGTCATCAAACCAGTTGAATCTAGTCAAATATTGTTCAAATAATTCAAAACAATCTTTAAAAACTACCAACGAATATTAAAAAGTTCAATCTTTAACAAAATTGAATAGGTCAACAAAAAGTCAACCTGTGCCAACATGGCCGAAATCAGAGACCACGACCGAATTCTGATTACTCACTCACCCTCCCCCCTCGAGTCCAGATATGGTATTTATTTTAAAATCTGAGGGTTAAATCACAATTTTATAAAATTCATAAATGTTACCCAAAATCCCTAATTTCTATCTTAAAATTCATAGATTTGATAAAGAAATTTATAAAAAAGTAATTGAAATTACTTGTAAACAAGTTAAAGTTGCTAAACAATGAATTTGGGAAGACAATTCTCGCATATGTGAAGTCTAGGGTTAAAAATAGTGTAAAATGAGCTAATCCAGGAATTCCCATATTTTATCTAGCTGCAGACATCACAATTGCGATAGTCGCAAAAGCAAAAAACTGTTCTTAAAAAATGATCAGTTGTCGCAATTGCGACACATACTTCACATTTGTGAAAAAACACCAAACGCAAATACGATACTGGCTTCGCAGTTGCGAAGGTTGCCCAGCTCAGTCCCCGCCGGCAAAAGTGACACATTGATCACAAAAGTGATGCCTGCCTTCTTGCAAATGCGACCACTGCTTCGCAAATTATGAAGCTTGCTTCCCCAGCCAAATATCGCAAATGCGAGCTTGACTTTGTAAAAGCGAAGCTCGCACTTGCAAACAGGTCCTCACAAATGTGAGACCTACAGATCAACTGGTGGGAGTTTGGGTCATGAAACTCTATCACGGAACTTCCTGAAATTTTTGAACCCGTACAACCATTGCCCCATAGCCTTCAACGTTTGTAAAGTGGATTCCTTTCAAACAATACAATAACAAATTGTTTATTTCAATATAATTTATATACATAAACAGTGACATTGTTTCGCGAACCAGATTTGAACCGCTATCTTCAACATAGGTCCATCCCTGGCAGTAAATATCTATGTTATCGTGTTAATGGCTATCGAGAATGCCATTACATTTGAATTATCTAAGTTAATAAACTTTACTATACTTCATAAGTGATTCTTGGTTGTGATTTCATATTTCATTATTTCTGCTCTCTTTTTATTTGTTCTTTTGTGTTGATAGAATACCACGTGACTTTTTCTCATTTTAAAATGAAATGCAAGATTTTGATGAACTTTCTGCAGAATATATGGAAGGTGATTATTTTCAGTTTCTCTTTACATCCATCATCCTTTTTCGGTGTTAATTTCAACTTCTAAAGGATTGCTAAGAACAATACCAAACAACCGCCACTAGGAACTGAACCAACTCCCTAGCCAGTTAATCCTATAATGTGAAAGGAATGCAACCACAAAATATTTTTTCACATAACCAACTTTACATAGCAATTTCAAGAGGATTATAAATATCAATAATAAAAGTCCTAGTATGACATAATAATAACGGGTGAAGGAACATACACTAGGTACACTGTTGCACGACACAGAATAGGTAAGGCAAATAGTTTAAGTTACTATCAATATATTAATAAAACCGTAATAGAATTCAATATACAACTACCCCAAGAACTAGTATTACAAGTCATGAGCCACTATGATTTAGATTTACAAAGCTGGTGAAATAATTTAAATACAACATCTGATTGAAAATTACATAAATAGAAGTAAAATCATATGCTGTCAGGAACAACAATTAGCATGAATTCGGCATGTGGGCACGCCTTCAATCAAAGCTCCCTCTTTACAACTACCCAAAATCTGCATGCAAGGTGCAGAAGTGTAGTATGAGTGCCACTGAGCCATCTACTCAGTAAGTATCTTGACTAACCTCAGAGGAGTAGTGACGAGATTTTTAAGTCAAAAGAAACTAACTTGTCAAATAACTTGTGCAATACATTCAAGACTGGCAACATAGAGTATAACAAATAAACAATAACAATAGTCTTATTAGAACTAGTGATAGCAGTTTAATACGAGCAAGGCTCAACATCAATAACAAGTCATCATATAGAATCGTATATATATGGTACCTCGTGCCCACATTATCTTTTAACCTTTCATAGCAAAGACCTCATGCAAAAACACATGTCACACCCGCATGACAAAGACCTCGTGCCAAATTACAATCCGTTTCTGTATTAACTTTCAGATAACACATTCAAAAGAACTTTTCAAGAATCAATTGTAGTAATACATGATGACAATTTCGCCATCTCATCAATCTAATATGCTAGCAAAAACTCAAATAATATGATATAACAATTCCACGTAAATAAAATCCATCTTAGCAACCAATTCATCAAGTAGTAACAGAGGCATTGATTAACATATTAGAAACAACACAACAAATTATGTAACAATTCATGACACATACAAAGAAGTCATAAGTACAACAAGAATTCACCTCTTGTACTACCGCACATGCATAATCAATAAAAATTGCCCTCGGGCTATCACATAACGTCCCCATAATGCCATCCTTATTTCGCCGCGTCAGCATCACAATGAATATTTCCCCTTATATTGCTACACGTGCATAAGCCACCCTTATCTCGCCACATGAGCATCAATAAACACAAGCCTTGTGTTGCACGCGCATCTAGCCACTCTTATCTCGCCGCATGCTCATCACAAATGAAATGCCTCCCTTATGTCGTCGCATGCGCCTCTAAAATCAATCTTTGCAACATGTCAACATGTGCCACAATGACATAGAAATGAAAATAACAAATTATGATCAAAAGGCATATTCTCATAACTCCTCAAAAATGGCACAAGGACATGATAACAACAAAAGTGTGAATAAAGCATAATCATGGTTAAATCAAGTATAAAAACTAAGTCCAAGTAGTCGTTCAAAGTATCACATATACATAACATACTGTACACATGTCAATCAAGACACATTATAAGATCAAGTCCAGATATGTATTCATAACCTACGTGTGTCTATCCCCAAGACAAATATGGCATGAGTCTCAAGATTTATTCATCATGTTCAACATAAAGTACCAATAGCCTCAATATTCCTCTAGCATGGTTTATACTACTCACGAAGTCGATTAATTTAATAGGAGTAACACATTGGATCAAGTAAAATGTACAACTATATAAGGCATTGAGTAAACTAGAATCTATCCCGAGAATGAATATCTATGACACATATATATACGCTCGTTACCTCGTATATATATCACCCCTCCATGTAGAAAACAACATCAACTAGTAGAAAAATTCTATCAACCAAAGCTAGGCAAGACACTTACCTCAAACAAGCCAAATCAATACTCAAAAATAGTCTTTACCTCATAAATTCACCTCCGTCCGGTCAAAATTTGGAAAAACATTACTCGAGAACATCAACCAATGCAAAAGAATCAATTTCAATTAATAAAGTTGCAATCTTTACCCAATTCTCAAAAGTAAACAAAAGTCAACTCCGGGCTAGCCTGATTATAACCCTAGTTGAAAGGTAGATATTGACTACTCATAACTCTATGAGTCAAAATATAAGATTAATTTTAAAAATTGAATCCAATTAAACTCTCAAATTTCAAATTTTCATTCTTCAAAATATAGTAAAAAATTCCAAAACTTCTCTTCAAATTTCATGATTTTGATGTTAAAATCCATACGTAGTCAAGCTATAATATTAAAGTTGAGTCAAAATCACATACCCCATAGTTATGTATGAAAATCCCCTCCAAAAATAGCCCCCTACCGAGTCTAGGGCACAAAATGTGATAAAATGAGACTATATCCTGAAATACACAGCATATAACCAACTATAGATGATGCATTTGTGACCAAGGGTTCGCAAAAGCGACCCTTGACAGACCTTGCAGATATCGTATTTGCGATAAAATGCTTAGAAAATGTGAAGCCCCTCCCCAGGTGACCAGTCGCAAATGCGACAAAATCCACGAAAATTGGAGGCCCATACCCAAAAGCCATGAATCGCAAATACGATGGTCACATTTGCGACCTCCTCATCAAAAAATGCGAGAACACCAGAACTAGCCCAACTCAACTTAGCAAAAACAATCCAAAATCAATCAAAAACTCTCCCGGGCCCCTCAGAACCCCGTTCAATCATACCAACAAGTACATAAACCTCATATGAACTCACTCATATGCTTTGATCATTGAAATAACATATACAATTACGAATCAAATACCAAAACACATCAAAATCATAATGAAACTCAAGAGCTTCCAAAATTAGAACCAAGCATCTTATTCCTACCAAACAAACCCGGAATAATACCACAGCTTGCACACAAGTCCTAAATGACAAAGTAGACCAATTCCAAGTACAAAGTTACCATAAAAACCTATTGGAATCATCAAAATGCAAATCCGAGATCGTTTACAAAAAAGTCAAACATTTATTAGCTCTTCAACCTAAAGCTTCCAAATTGAGTATTTCTATTCCAAATCAATCCCGAGCCTCTCGAACGAAACTGTTTACCTTGAAAATGATTTTAATAATTATATTTGAATTTGTGGTTCTAAAAATATGTGACTTATTTCAATATCAGTTGTTAGGCAATAGATGCTAAGAGTAAGTGAAGAGAATAAGATATACAAATCAATGTTGTCGCAAGAATGGACCTCGAGCTGGCTGGAATAAGGGGCCTCTAGGTCTAGTTAAGGCAGTTAATAATGAACAATTGACGAAGAAACAATGATATCGAAGGCCTCGAAGATATCCCTTTGCGGTTAATAATGGGCAATAAATAAAGAATAATAAATGTACGATAAATGAACAATAAATTAACAATAAACGAACAAGTGATAAATCTGTAGGGTAATTGTTGAGCATGTTTAGGCAAGAAAAGCAGAGAATATTCTATTGTATTTATTCATGTGTGTTACAAAATGACAAGGGCCCCCTTTATATTTGAGGGGGAGACCCAACATAGTACATGTCTAATAATGACGAGAAAATGCTATTGGTTCAGCTGTATGATGGGCCAGCACGGATTTGTACTATTTTGTAGACCTGGTCAGCTCTAACCACGTTTCCTTGAGAGCTTTTTCGCCTTTCCATGATGATCATCGATTTGTACTGCTCCGAGATTGACCAAAGTGAACCTTTGATATGCTCTATCGAGGGGCGCACCTCGGGGTCACCCTTCAAATTCTGCTTCGAGCTTCTCGAGGTCAGGCACGGAGGGCCACAGTAGCCCCAAAATTGAACTCCCCGATTTTGGCCGTATACAGATAGCCCCCGCATTTCTTAGAATAGAATGATATGAAATAACTTTGACCTCGATTTTCCTGAGCCTCTTGTGATGATGTTATGCTCGTTACGTAAGCGTTCGAAGTGATTGAAACATCCCGTCGGTTCGTTCCCCCTAGAAACATTGAATGCACCGCCGGTCCGTTTCCCCAGAAACATTGAATGCGCCGTCATTTTCGTCGTCATTTCCCTATAAATAAGGGATTACTTGAACCAAAACTTCACTCATTCTTTCTCAACCTTTTTCCCTTTCCCTTCTCTATATTCTCTTCTAACCTCCTATGTTTATAGTTCGAACTCATGACCACAAGGTTATACGGTAGCAACTTTGTCAGTTATGCCATGGTTCTTTTTCAAAGATTTTGCCCACTAAGTGGGATATACTGAGTTGTTGTTGTTGTTGTTGTTGGCCCGAATCAATAAGAGAAGAGCACCAAATTCTTCCCGTATTAGAAGATATGTGGTCTTTATACCACCGCTCATCTCTCTTATCTTCAACCTGGTGTGGATCTTAATTCCTTTTACCTTCTACACCGGTACAATGTCTCAAGAAGTGGTTTCGCAATAGTAGTGCTGATGAGACCCATACTCGCCAGGTTTTTCACCAGGCCACAATTTTCTTCGCTTGTTAAAAGCTTTTGCTCTTTGGTAGGCTATTTCCTTTTCTTCATCTATTGCGGTTTTGGAGGAGGTTCTTGAAGACACCACTCTAAAGATCGAAATGGAGTCCCTGAGGAGAAGGTTCTCGAAGATATCGCTCTTGAGGATATTCCCTCAAAAGTACACTAGCCCTTTGGCTATTGTTTTTTGCTTCTTTCTTTCTGTGGAAGGGCCCCTCGTGGGCTTTGAAAACATCTTTTATAAATATAATAATTTCTTCATTTTTCCTTTGATTTGTGTTGAACTCCATTCTGCCTTCGTTTGTGAAAAATCCAAGTGTATGACTCTAATGATTAGTTTGAATACTAGACTCGGAACATAATAAACCCTTAGGTTTTTAATTGATTAATATGATACTTCTTAAAGTCCTTTGTTATTCCTCGCACTAAGCTTGGATTGATTTAATGTGAACTTAGGTCACCGAGACTTCTGTTTGAGTGAGAGTTGGGTCTTAGTTTTTGAAATAAAACTAGCCTATTTAGGCTTCGTTGATAGCCCTCGAGTGAGAATTTTCTCGAACTCAGGTAGCCTTGGAACTTAGCAACTGGGTGAGCATTTGCTCAATCATCTGAAAATAAAGATAGCACTTAGGTTTTTACAAATAGTCCCAGAGTGAAAGTTTGCTCGAACTCGGGTAGCCCTTGGGCTTAATAGTCGAGCTAGCGTTTGCTTGAACTTGAAATAAAGATAGCCCTAAGGCTTTGTAAATAGTCCCCAAGTGAGAACTTGCTCGAACTCGAGTAGCCCTTGGGCTTAATAGTCGAATGAGCATTTGCTCGAACTAGAAATAAAGATAGCCCTGAGGCTATATAAATAGTCCCCGAATGAGAATTTACTCGAACTCGGGTTGGGCTTAATAGTAGAGTGAGCGTCTACTCGAACCCAACTCGTAGATTCTTCTTAATAATTTCTGACAAATTGATTCCCTTTAAAGGGTGTAGGAGGCTCTCATCAGAGGCTAATGAGCTCAGAGCTCTTTTTACCAAAAAGGAGGAAGAACTTCATGACCTTCGAGTTGATTTTTGCAGCTCGAGCAGAAAGATATCCTGATGAACGAGGGGCTCAAACCCAGGGATATTGAGATTCTCGGACTCAAGCAGAGTGTGGACGAGATAGCCTCAGAGAGAGATACCCTTCAGGGGAAGTTGACCTCAGTTGAGCATCATCTTTAGGATGCAAGGGCATATAGTGGTAAGTATAAGGATCTCCATGCTGAATCAGTTGTCGTGCTATCTACAGCCAAGTCCGAAGCCGATGCGCTCATATCCTCGTACCGAGGAGATGTTGCTACTGCAAATGCTCGAGCCAAGAAGGTATCTGAAGAGGTGGAGCTGAACTGACCCGAGCCCAAGATCATGCCCGATTAAGATCTTGGAGGCAGGTTCTCGAGGATGTACATGCAGGGGCATCGATTTGTCTGATGAGATCGAGAGGATGAAGGCCCTGGAGGAAGAATCGGTAGCTCTGCTTTCTTCCAATGATGGTTCAGCAAGTGGTTCAGCCAGCGGCTCGGACGATGACAAGGATGAAGGTAAAGTCCCCGAGGGGGAGGAGGCCGTTGATGTTCCGGGGGTCGAGGGCCAAGCCGCTGAAGGCACAACTTCTGAGGGAGCTCCGTCCGGTCATGTGACCCCGATGTTAGATTAGGTTTTTATTTGTTCCTTTTTTGTGTAAGGGATCTAGGCGTGATCCTTGGAAATATGTCTTTGTGAACCTTTATTATATATATAAGGATCTTTGCTTTTCGTCATTTCTTGTCTTCCCTTTGCATTTTTGGAATAAACTTTGATGCTTGTTGATAACCAGTCCGATGTGTCGAACTTATAATATAAACCCCTTAGGATTTTAATATCGACCATCAAGATTTTAACACATTGTCCTTTGGGCTCTTTAGATTGGCCTTTAGGCTCTAATGCATTGGCCCTTAGGCACTTTTAGATTGGGTCGATGCGACATCTAATATGGCTATAGTTTTCCCTCATTTTGGCTAAAGACTTTTGAAGTTTTGATTATGCCTTGGCATGTTTTATGTTCGTCCGACTCTTTGATGGCCCAAACGAGAACCTCGATTATGATTCGATATGTGACGATAGTTGAGTACCTCGGGAGGTTCGCTCGAAGGCTGAGTTTTCAAAACCTTTTCATCGAAGGCTGATTGTTTTCGAAGCCTTTTTATTGTTTGGAGCTGATGTTATCGAAGCTCCTTTGCTTATTCCCAGATTAGCCTGATTAACTGGTTCTTTTAGAAGTATTTTCAAAGTATTTGAAGACCATTAGTTTTATGGCAGCAGTCGGACGTCTCCGAGCCGCATTAATTTGGCCGTAGCCTTTTAGTTCGACCGTAGTCTTTATGTTTGATAGTAGCTCTTAGTCCCCGGGTGCGGTGATCTTGGCGTCTATATCGAGGGTATGCCTTTTTAGGGGTCTTACAAGTTTGAATATATAGCCTAGGCCTTAATATCGAGGTTATGCCTTTTTAAGGTCTTATAAATTTGAGTACGCCTTGTTGAGGTCTTCCAAGCTCGATATTGCCTCATCGAGGTCTTATAGATTCGATGCTGCCTTACTGAGGTCTTACAAGCTCGAAGTTGCCTTATTGAGGTCTTACGAATTCAAATTTTTGATGGCTTCGATGAGCTGACTGTCAATGACAGTCCCCGAATGTTCGAGGATTTTTGGCCCTTGAGCCATTTTATGTGAAAGTAGTAAACTTCTGGCCGTTTTGTGTGAAAGTGGCAAACTTCTTTGAGGCACACAATGTTTTGACAAGCAGAGAGGCTTATTTGATTACTTGATATATGTGCACATGTTCTTTCCTTTGGACGCTCGATTTTTCTGTATGGGCATGGTTCATTCAATCGTTTGGCCTGATACAATATTTTCCTATCGAGGTCCCCTTAGGCATAACTCGATTTTTTCGAAAAGATAACCTCTGAGGGGGATGCCCCCTAGTATCGAGGCTGATTGAGAAGAAGCCTTGAATACTTATTGAGTTCTCCTTATGTAGCATATAGACGTTGCCTCGTTAAAAACCTCGCCGGCAAAATCCATTTGGGATAAAACCCGATCAAAGGGGAAAAAGTGCAATGCATGCTTTAAAACCCAGGGTCTTCAAGTCGATAGGTGCTTCGGCGTTTCCCGTCGAACACCTGTAAGAAATTAGTATGAGACAGATTATACCTTAGCAATAATAGCGTTTGAGCATCGATATGTTCCAATTGCTTGGGAGTTTTTCGCCTTCTATGGTGCCAAGTTTGTAGGACCCTTTGCCTACTATTCCGAGGATGCGGTACGATCCTTCCCAACTTGAGCCTAGCTTCCCTTCCTTTGGGTTTCGAGTGTTGAGGGTGACTTTCCTTAGGACTAAGTCCCCGACTCTGAAGTATCGGAGATTTGTTCTCCTGTTATAATACCTCCCGATCCTCTATTTTTGGGCGGCCATTCAAACTAGTGCAAACTCTCGCTTTTCATCTAGTAGCTCGAGGGCTGTAGTCATGGACTCGCTATTCAAGTACTCGGTTGCATGTC